GAAGGATGGGATTTTGGGGAGGGGAAGTGTTGGAGAAGGAGCTGGTGTATCTGTTCTATTAATGAAATAACCCCCAGGAGGGTCACACTGGCATAATGCTGAGATAACTGAGAAGCAAATCTGGGCCTGAGATCTGACTAATATTTTTCTTGGCAAAGGAGGTAAATACGAAATTCACCTCTACCTAGAGAATTAGTGCAGGAGTCATACCGCAAATGGGCTTTAGTTTGAGGATTTAATCAGAGTTTGTTACTTTATTTTTACACTGTAACTAATTGTAACCACGATAGACTTACAAAGACCTATCTAGAGAGTTGATGCTGCAAATAAATGCTCCCACAGCAGCGATCTTCCTTCCAGGTGTGCCTGAATCCATCTTTTAGTGCTAAGCAAGAAAACAAGGGAAGCTGCACTATGCTTCTTGATTATCTTTATTTTTGTTCTATTTTGGAGCCACAAACACCACGTCTTGTTGCCTTTTTTTATCTGCCTACACCAAACTAGTATGGATGGCAGTTGCCTGTAACGTTGAAGATAAAGTTGAAGTCTTCCCACATCCTGCATGAATGAGGAAGTTATATTGAAACCCACTGTTCATTTCTGCATTATACTTTGATTTTCATTATATTTGTTTGTTTGGGTTTTTTTTAACCAGTATAACCCACAGAAGTAGCATTTGTGAGACAGACAGTGTGCTTAGTCTCATGGAGGCAAAAAGTAATTTGTGACCAGAATCGGTGCAGTTTTAATAATTTTTACTTTATTGAACGTACATTTTCCTTTTAGAGGTAGAAAGAAATGTACATTATTTTAATCTGTTCAACTGCATGTACAATGATCTTTCTCCACTAGTTGCTATGAGTATCAAACTCTCACTGAAACAGTATGGAAATTTATCATGGAGTCTAGGATGATCAGGATAAATCTATTGCAACAGCTTCCTTCCTCAGACCTCTGTACATAGCAAATTTTAAAACAAACACCCAAACCCAAAAAACCAAAACTAAAACCAAACCAAAAACAAACACATGCAAAAACAACCCTTAAAAACAACCACAGCAAAATCCTACATTTTGCTCCTTCAGTAACTCAAAATCTCTGACAATTATGTCTGAATTTTCAGAAGGAAATTCAGCCAGATTCATATAATAGCTAAACCTACTATTTTTTGTTGTACGTTACCAGTATAGAGTCTTATGTAGTCCTATCTCTTTGCAGAATGTTATGTATTTTTATTTACATTTCCTTAACAGGAAAAAAATTACCAAGATTATATTTTAGTGCACAATATTTACCATCGAATAAGCAGATGCATGTTACCTTACAAGAAGACTTTTGTTCTGTTGTGTCCATCCTTTTTGTTTGTGCAATGACAGCTGTACTCTCTTAGACCACAAATGCAGCAAAATAGCACATTTGTGGGGGAGTTTTCCACATTAATTATTTATATACATGCTCCACTCCACCTCTTCCTTGCATGGCACTGTCCTCTGCACAAATTGCCCAAAAGATATATAAAATACCCATTTCTGGCTATACTTCTGTCTAAAAGTTGAAAACTTTTCACAGAAGCCTATAAATTGCATTAGATCCAAATGATACATGTTCCAAATATTTAGCCACTGGTCAGAGAACTAATAGATGAATAGCTGAGCCAATACTCTCTTGCCACATGCACGTGTTCTCTTATGTAGTATTAGTAGGAATCCAGTTAGTTGAATCATAGAATCAGATGATTGAACTGGTTGTTCATATCCCATGAAAATAAACAGGAAAGTTTTTGTGTCCAGTAGTTTTCAGGGTGCTTACAGATTCTGGCAGACATCACTGTATTGATTCTGCTTGATTTGCCAGGATTCAAGAATTACAGTTTCTCATTTTAAATGAAAATTAAAATTGTGCTGTAATTCTGGTTGACAACCAGTTGAACACGAGCCAGCAGTGTGCCCAGGTGGCCTGAAAGGCCAATGGCATCCTGGCTTTTATCAGGAATAGTGCAGCCAGTGGGAGTAGGGATGTAATTCTCTCCCTGTACACAGCACTGGTGAGGCCTCACCTTGAGTACTGTGTGCAGTTCTGGGCTCTCACTTCAAGAAGGATATTGAGGTGCTGGAGCAGGTCCAGAGGAGAGCAATGAGGCTGGTGAAAGGACTAGAGGGAAAGTCTTACAGGGACAGGCTGAGGGAGCTGGGGTTGTTTAGCCTGGAAAAGAGGAGACTCAGCGGGGACATTGCCTCTCTCTTCAACTACCTGAAGGGAGGTTGTAGTCAGGTGGGGGCAGGTCTGTTTTTCCAGGCAACTAGAAACAATAAAACATGGCATGGCCTGAAGCTGCACTAGGGGAGGTTTAGGTTGGATATGAGAAAGTAATTCCTCATGGAGAGGGTGATTAGACATTGAAATGGACTTTCCAGGGAAGTGGTGGAGGCACAGTCCCTGGATGTGTTCAAGGAAAGGCTGGATGTGGCACTTAGTGCCATGGTTTAGCCAATGTGGTGGTGTTGGTTGTAGGCTGGACTATGATGATCTTAAAGATCTTTTCCAGCCTTGGTGATTTTGTGATTCTGTGATTCTGTAACTCCAAGAGACTTTGGGTGAAATCCTCTAATGCTTACACCTCAATCCAGCATTCTATCCTGCCCTACCTCTTCTTTTTCTATCCTGAATGCTAAAGGTAAGTCATGTACCATAGGTGAGGAGATGCCTCTTCACTTCCTCCACATAAATGGATATGAGGTAATTGTTGCACACAGGGACACTACACAGCTCCTTTCCATCAAGAATGTGTCCCTTTCTGTATCTCTACTTAGTATCTGAAGCTGGAGGAATTATTTGAAATACAGACATGAAGAGCATATTTTATATTGTAATTAATCAATATTTCCTCCCTTTCATGCAGATGATTTAATTTTCATTACTTCATTGCAGTCTATGGCTTCCTCACATGGGGAAGAGATGGGGCAGGTACTGATCTCTTCTCTCCTGTGACCAATGATAGGACTTGGGGAAATGACAGGAAGCTGAATCAGGGGAGGCTTAGGTTGGATATCAGGGAAAGGTTTTTCACCCAGAGGGTGACTGAGCACTGGAACAAGCTCCCCAGGAAAGTGGTCACAGCACCAAGCCTGCCTGAGCTCAAGAAGCATTTGGATGATGCTCCAGGCACATGGTGTGATTCTTGGGGTGCCCAACACAGGGACAGGAGTTGGACTTGAGGATCCTGATGGGTCCCTTCCAACTCAGCATATTCTGTGATTCGTCATTATTTAGAATGAAACCTTTGATTTGTGTAGAGTAGTAGAAACCTGGGACCAAAAGGAGCACATTTCATCAGTATGAATGACTGGCTTTATTTATTTACTTTCTAGCAGCTGTTGCAGAAATGCAGGGGACCAACGTTTTACTCTAGCTACTTTGCCCATGGTTTTTCCTCAGTTTTATCTCTGCTTTTTAGGATTTGTGATATCTTTGATAGAAAAAACAGTACAGCAGCCTAAGTCTTAGGTGCCTAAGTACCCTTTCTGTGCTAGATGGTAATCACTAGAGGCCCTGTGTCCTAGTTTAATATTGCAGAGGCCAGTTTAAAGTAGGAGTGACTTTCAGTCACTTGTGTGTGTTACTGTAGCCTGGACTATTGGAAGGATGCACTGCAGCCCTTGACAGGTTAGTGTGGGCATTCAGTTTAGGGCGAATTCATAACTGAGGTGGCAAGTTCCTAACAAAGGTGCCTCTCTCTTTTTGTCACATCTTACGCATTGATAACTCAGTTGACAATGACCTTCAAGTGGAGGATGCAGTGCTGATGTACAGGAAAGCATAACTGATAAGAAAGTACTTGAGGGGTGATAAATAGTGCAGTGCACACTACTAAATGCTACTTTTTGTGCATGCAGAGCTTGTATAACAAAAAAATTAAGGCTTTGTCCTGGGATACTGCTGCATATAGTAAAACTCCTCCAAGAACAAGGGAAATCTGAGTAGTGGAACTGGTGATAGAAACGGTGGCATCCATATCATTAGCACACACAAATTGTCTTCTTTTGGACCATACACTCTGCCAATGACAGGGGATGCAGTCTTTATGGAAAATCTTTTACCTCAGTATAAATAGGCATCTTGGGGCATGCAGGGTACTGTTGTATGTCCATGGGCATGTCCCACCCCTCTTCAGAGCTGGTAAATGACATTCACTCCTCCTTTCTTGGAAATGTGCAAAAAGGATTTCCATAGATAGCCTTTGGAGATTTCCTGTTTTCTCATGTGTGTAATAGGTTGGGTCAAGCAACAAAGAGGAGGGAGAAAATAACAGGATTTAATTTTCTGTGCACTCTCCCATCAACACCAATAGGGAAAAAAAAAAAAAAAAAAAAAAAGAGGAATGATGAAATACAGGTGATGTCAGTGATAAATTAAATTAAGATCATATGTTTTAATGCAGAAGCTGTATGCCTTCAGCTATAAGAGGGACCATGATAATAGAGTACATTCCAACTGGATCTTAACAAATTGCCTGTGCGTATGAATAATTAGTCATAAAATAAAAAGTGTACCTACAGTATTTTAAACCAAGATATTTTAAATGTGTGACCTAGAGTTTATTCAATTTTGAGCATCTAAATTGTACTAAGAAAAGTCATAGTGACAGTTTAAGGAAAGAAAAATAATATTAAATTGTATATCAGCATATCATTCTAAAACACTATGAATGCAAAGGATACCATCTTAAGGTATTGATTAGCAGAAATTCATAAAAGCACAGCCTCTTAAAATCTTTTAAATTATGGATAAGGAAATTCATAGTGCAAATCAGGTAATATCTCTTTGGTTTTTGTGAAGTGCCAAAATTCAGGGATTTAAATGCAAGTGTATTTTTTTTAATTTGAAAGGTACAGGTGGGAAAACTTTAATTTTGTGTTTCAAAAGGACACAGAGAGTGGGAGGAAAAAAAAAAAAAAGGTATTTGCATTATATTTATTGGGTTTTATTTTCCTGTTTTACAGATTTTGAACACCTCAGTAAAAATCTTCACAGCAATTTGTGATTCTGCTGGCCTAAGCAGAGCATATGCAGCTATAACTGAGATCCTGGTAAGGTAGGTTAGCACATCCTTGTCTGGCTGTCAGTGCAGATTCATTCAACTGTGAAAGACTGAAATTGTTAGAGGTCTGTCACTTCCCATTACTGACTGCTTAAATTTTAAGCAGTGCCCTTCTTGCAGTAAGTGACCCTTTCATCAAAAGTTATTTTAAACTGGTACACATTTTTTAAAGTGTATGATCCAAGCTTTTCTTTACCTGTAAACTATAATATGTCCTTCTTTTTCCCACTTTTTGGAGGTTTCTTTAATTTTTTTTTATTATTATTTTTTTACAAGTCTGGGAGGTACCTTACTGGAAAATAGAAATCAAAGCATATTTTCCAGGTTAAAGAAGACAGAAAATCTTGAAGAATATAGTTGTCTCAGTGTAATATTTTCTGAACTGTAGGTTTGCATTTATTGCACTCCTCTGGAGCCATTTCTGGTTTGCGCATGTGTAACTACCTATACATTTGTTGCAGATTAGATCCTTGCTTTCCATGTTTTTGTTTCAGCATCTGGCATTAAAATCTTCTACCAGGTGAATTAGTTTGAATCTATTTCAACTTCATGCACAAATAATTTTGACTTAAAGTAGTCTAATGCAATTATCTTATGAAGTAAAATTATAGAATCATAGAATTGTTTTGGTTGGAAAAGACCTTTCATAAAGACCATCATAAACTCCAACTGTTAACCCAGCACTGCCATGTCCATCACTAAACCATGTCCCTAAGCACCACATCTACACATCTTTTAAATACCTCCAGGGATGGTGAATTGACCACTTCTCTGAGCAGCCTGTTCCAGTGCCTGGCAACACCTTAGGTGAAGTAATTCTTCCTGTTTGAGGCTGTTTCCTTTTATACTATTATTTTTTACTAGTGAAAAGAGACCAGCTCCCACTCAGCTACACCTTCCTTTCAGGTAGTTCTAAAGAATTATGTCTCCCCTCAGCCCACTTTTCTCCAGGCTAAACAACCCCAGGTCCCTCAGCTGCTCCTCACAAGACTTGTTCTCCACACCTTTCACCAGGTTCAGTGCCCTTTTCTGGACACCCTCCAGCACCTCAGAATCCTTCTTATTGTGAGGGGCCTAAAACTGAACCCAGTATTCAAGGAGCAACCTCACCATTGCAGAGTACAGGGGGACAGTCACTTCCCTGGTCCTGCTGGCCACACTATTTCTGATGCAGGCCAGGATGCTGTTGGCCTTCTTGGCCACCTGAGCACACTGCTGGCTCTTATTCAGCTGGCTGTGGACCAACACCTCCAGGTCCTTTTCTGCTGGAAAGCTTTCCAGCCACTCTTCTCCAGGCCTGTAGCATTGCCTGAGCACCCCATTGTAGAAGACCATCAAATTAGTCAGGCAGGATTTGCCCTTGGTGAAGCCATGTTGGCTGTCACCAGTCACCCCTTTGTTTTCCATGTGCCTTAGGCAGAGACTTCAGGAGGATCTGCTCAATGATCTTGACAGGCACAGAGGTGAGACTGACTTGTCCGTAGTTCCCTGGGTCTTCCTTTTCTCCCTTCTTGAAAATGGGAGCTATGTTTCCCCTTCTCCAGTCAGTGGGAATTTTGCCAGACTGCCAAAAATTTTCAAATATGATGGAAGAGAAGAGATTAGAGTGAAAGTTGCAGTTTATGCATAATTCATCCAGTGTTTTGCCTCTTCAGTGCACATGATGCATGACAGAGGTTGGCAAATTCTTCATGGAGGAGGACTTATCATCAGATTTATTTCAGTGGGTAGAGCAAATTCTCCTGTTTGAGTCAGATGCCTTGCCTCTTGGTCTTTCAGAGACCAGCAACAATCACAGTTCTCTTCAGCCCTCTGATACATAATTCATGGCTATTCATATTTTGAGCATCCTAAGGAAGCACGTGGAATAAAATGTTCAAAAAAAACACAGAACAGGCTTAGGATATAGAGTCCCATTTTCAAAACTCTCTTAAACCTAGATGAGAAAGATTTAGTTGCTGGCACACCAGCTATTACACCTTTGCACTCATTGTAAAGTCACTCGTGACAGGTCGTGTCCCAGCAACTAAATTTTTCTCAGTTAGGCTTAAGTCTTCTAGAATAAGATGCCTGGCTTGGTGGATGAAGGGAAAGCAGTGGATGCTGCTCCTCCTCTCAGTTTTGGTAAATCTTCTGACACCATCTCCCAAAACGTCTCCATACACAAGCTGATCATGTATGGCTTAGATAAATAGACAGCAAGGTAAACTGAAAACCTCCTGAGTTGCTGGCCTCAAGGTGTTGGAAGCAGCAGCATGAAGTCCAGTGGGGGGCCAGTCACTAGTGCTGTACTTGGGGTTCAACACTGGCACCAACACCGATTCATATCTTCATCAACAACCTAGATGGTTCGACCAAGTGCACCCTCGGTGTGTTTGCAGGCAAAACAAAATTGGGGAGGAATGTTTGATTCACCAGGTTGGTGGTTGTGCTGCCATTCAGAGGAACCTCAGCAGACTGCAGCAATGGGCTGCTGGCAGTCTCGTAAAGCTCAGGAAAGGGAAATTCAAAGCCCTTCACCTGGGGACAGAGAACCCCAGGCACCAGCCCAGGCTGTGGGCTGACTTGGGAGCAGGAAGATTGACAGGGAAGGACCTGGGTTTCCTGGTGGACAACAAGTTGCCCATGGGACACACCAATGGCCATTCATGGCAAAGGTGACCGAGGGTCTCCCTGGGCTGCATTAGGCAGAGCATTGCAAGCAGATCAAGGGAGGTGATCCTTTGCTCCTACTTGGCACTGCTGAGGCCACCCCAGGTGCACTGTGTCCTGTTTTGGGCTCCCCAGATAGAGGGTTGTAGTGGTTGAGTCTTGCAAAAGGATGCGAAGATGACTAAGGAACGGGGATCATCTGTCCTTGGAGGAGGGGCAAAGGGAGCTGGAACTGTTCAGACCACAGAACAGAAGGCTCAGGGGGAAAATTTCATCAATGTGTACAAATTCCTGATGGAAGGATGTAAAGAGGGGGTGCCAGTCTCTTCTCAGTGGTGCTCAGTGACAGAACAAGAGGCAGGGGGCACAAAATAAAATACATGAGATTCCATTTTAAGAAAAGAAGAGAAAAAAAAGACAGTGAATGCTGGAACAGATTGTGAAGTTTCTAGCCTCCAAAAGTCACTCAAAACTCCCCTGGATACAGGCCTTCTCTAGCTGCCCAGCGCAAGGACAGTGGAGATTATCTCCAGAGATCCCTTCCAACCTGAACTGTATTGTGATTCTGTGATCTTTGTCTTAAGCAGTCCTTCTAGATAAATTCCCTTTTGCTGTGTAATGCCCTTTAACATAACGCTTTCTCTAACCCGGTAGGATGGATATTTCAGACAAGCCTAGTTTTGAAAATTCAGCAACAGAATTTTTCATTAGCATATTCATGCAGGTCCAGCTCTACTGGTTCTTTCTTGGAGAAGGAAAGAGCATTAAAAAAAATGGTTTGAGAAGTGCACTTAAAGGGAGACATTTAAAAAACCTTGTAAGTTGCTCGAAATTATTTTCCAACACTTTAAAAAAAAAAAAAAAAAAGGCAAAAAATAATCTTAGATGCCTGAAATCTAGTTAGATTTTTCCAAGAGCTGGTCTAATAAAGATATTTCTTTTTAGGAACTTGCCTTGGCTTCACTGAATTATACCTTTATATAGATTGCTGTAATATACTGTTTACCTGTACCATCAGACATTTCTTTGTAGAAAAAAAAATATTTATTTTTAAAAAAAATATTTAAAACAGTTTATTTTTTTCCTCCCATTTTTGGAAGCTTTATTCTATCTATATTAATTGTGTGTGCAATTCATATGCAAAATATGTCCCTTAAGGAGCACCATGAAAGGCTCGAATTACCGTGCATGGAAAAAGATGGTTATTTGAGACTTCCTATCCTAGCTCTGAGAAGCCCTCCAACAATCATATATGATAATCATCTAGGAAAATTAGGACTGCAGAAAGGGACATTTAACAACATCCTTTGAGAAACAAATATTAGCAAGATTTCTGAAAACTCTGGAAAATTATGTGTATTTTCATAAAGTCAACTTGTAAGATTTGACTTCTTTTCTGTTCCCTCCCATGTGTAAGAAAAGCTCCAGAGCACTGTATTTCTAGCTGATCAACATTCCACAGTCTATATAACATTAAAATGCTATTCTAATGTCCCCTAATTTTAAACTTACCCGGACATGGTCAAAGCTTCTTAAACAAGAAGGTAATCAGGAGTACTCAGCATGGATTTATGACAGAGAAATTGTGCTTCACCAGCCTGGCAGTCTTCTAGAATAAGATGCCTGGCTTGGTGGATGAAGGGAAAGCAGTGGATGCTGCTCCTCCTCTCAGTTTTGGTAAATCTTCTGACACCATCTCCCAAAACGTCTCCATACACAAGCTGATCATGTATGGCTTAGATAAATAGACAGCAAGGTAAACTGAAAACCTCCTGAGTTGCTGGCCTCAAGGTGTTGGAAGCAGCAGCATGAAGTCCAGTGGGGGGCCAGTCACTAGTGCTGTACTTGGGGTTCAACACTGGCACCAACACCGATTCATATCTTCATCAACAACCTAGATGGTTCGACCAAGTGCACCCTCGGTGTGTTTGCAGGCAAAACAAAATTGGGGAGGAATGTTTGATTCACCAGGTTGGTGGTTGTGCTGCCATTCAGAGGAACCTCAGCAGACTGCAGCAATGGGCTGCTGGCAGTCTCGTAAAGCTCAGGAAAGGGAAATTCAAAGCCCTTCACCTGGGGACAGAGAACCCCAGGCACCAGCCCAGGCTGTGGGCTGACTTGGGAGCAGGAAGATTGACAGGGAAGGACCTGGGTTTCCTGGTGGACAACAAGTTGCCCATGGGACACACCAATGGCCACTCATGGCAAAGGTGACCGAGGGTCTCCCTGGGCTGCATTAGGCAGAGCATTGCAAGCAGATCAAGGGAGGTGATCCTTTGCTCCTACTTGGCACTGCTGAGGCCACCCCAGGTGCACTGTGTCCTGTTTTGGGCTCCCCAGATAGAGGGTTGTAGTGGTTGAGTCTTGCAAAAGGATGCGAAGATGACTAAGGAACGGGGATCATCTGTCCTTGGAGGAGGGGCAAAGGGAGCTGGAACTGTTCAGACCACAGAACAGAAGGCTCAGGGGGAAAATTTCATCAATGTGTACAAATTCCTGATGGAAGGATGTAAAGAGGGGGTGCCAGTCTCTTCTCAGTGGTGCTCAGTGACAGAACAAGAGGCAGGGGGCACAAAATAAAATACATGAGATTCCATTTTAAGAAAAGAAGAGAAAAAAAAGACAGTGAATGCTGGAACAGATTGTGAAGTTTCTAGCCTCCAAAAGTCACTCAAAACTCCCCTGGATACAGGCCTTCTCTAGCTGCCCAGCGCAAGGACAGTGGAGATTATCTCCAGAGATCCCTTCCAACCTGAACTGTATTGTGATTCTGTGATCTTTGTCTTAAGCAGTCCTTCTAGATAAATTCCCTTTTGCTGTGTAATGCCCTTTAACATAACGCTTTCTCTAACCCGGTAGGATGGATATTTCAGACAAGCCTAGTTTTGAAAATTCAGCAACAGAATTTTTCATTAGCATATTCATGCAGGTCCAGCTCTACTGGTTCTTTCTTGGAGAAGGAAAGAGCATTAAAAAAAATGGTTTGAGAAGTGCACTTAAAGGGAGACATTTAAAAAACCTTGTAAGTTGCTCGTTACTCTCCCACCAAACTTTTGATTATTTACTTGTCTGATGTATAGCAAACAAGCATATTTCTGGCACACCTGTTCAGAAAATACTGGATCAAGGCATGAATAATTATTTCATAACAGAATCTCAATACTCAGCTTGATCACATTTTCTTTACTTGTATTTTTACCTGATCTTGACTGGAGTTGTACAAACCATTTTAAATTTGATGGACAGTGTCTTTATAAAGGAAAGATTACTGTTTCCCTAAGATAATGTATTGTCAGCATTGGTACTGATTGCCTTGTGACAGGCTGGAGAAGGTAGCTGAGCCCTCCTGAATTGCTCAGAACTTGTCTATGGCTTTGGAATTTTTTATAAAATCTGCTGCAGATGTTTCCACAAACCATGGGAAGCTGAAGTTTTCTATCATGTGCATTTAGCCATGTCATTTTCCAGGGAAAATCTGACATAATAGCATCATGTTCTTGACTTATTCTGCCAGTGTCCACTATGGTAATGACTTCTTGTGGACACATGATTTATACATCCAATTCAATCACATGAGCAATCCTATAAAAGGTGCATATTTTCATAAAAGTCTAATAGCAGTAAAAATCTCGTAGGGCATTTTAGCATGAAACTGGAAAATGAGTTGCTGTAGATATGTAATCTCTTCTGCTGAAGTCATCATAACTGTTCTGTGGGATCATGAATGACTATATCTTTAGAAAATTACATTTTATGCATTGAGGAAGGTGATGTCTAAGGAGATAGAAAGTATATGGCTGTATAAAATAACATGTAGATTTTTGAAGGAACTATAAAATATTAGCCCTTTGAGTAGGAAAGACCTGTATATCATATTATCAGGTCTTGTGCGGGGTAAAGTATTTCAGCAATCCTTCTAGCATACTTGAAATATCTCAAGCTGTTGTACTTTTAAAAGTAGTTCATTTGAAAAATTGTTGAACTGTACCAACCAATTGCTAGCTGGCACAAGTGAAGTTCTAACAGTGAGAAATATCTTTCTGGTATGTGTCAAATTGATTTCTGTTTGCTTGAAAGAGGTTATCTGCCCTAGCAATTTTCATATCTTCTATACGTGGAGCACAGGGTTTTTATGTGAAATATAAAAAATGGCCAAAAATACATCAAAACATTTCTATTAATTCATGAAATTAGGAAAACCTTTTTACATTTTCTCCTGTCACTGATTCCATTTGCTTTATTACTTTCAGCCTCTAGCCCACAAACTTGGTGGCACAATCAACAAACCCCTTAGTGGCTGTTTCATCTCTGCTCTATTTGATTTCTCCACTCTGAGTAAATGATTAAGTTTTCATGCATTGGTTCAACCAAAATCTATGTTCACTCAACCACATCCTTTATTGATTACTTCTACTGCAAACAGTAGGCCAAGTGTGATATACATAATTGGACAGTTGTCAGGGGATGTGGGTGTTAACAGTCCTGTTTTCCCAATTGGAAACTGGAATCACCTTGATACACAAATATTCTGCACTGTTTCATTCTCATTCCTTGGACCGAGGAGTCCTTTTCCTCAGAATATATGTTTTTAACTCTCAAAGGTCTGGTTGAATGGATTTAATGATTATACCATATAATATGCTCTTCAAGTTGCACCTGTGCACTGCATATAGAAAACTAGAAAAACTGGAATTAATATTTGTCTAACACTTTAACCTTGTCCTTTAACTTATATAAATCATATGCTGGATTTCTGTAGGGA